GGTGAATACCACTATCATTCAGATATATGCACCAACAACCAGAGCCAAGGAAGAGGATATAGAAGATTTTTACCAACTTTTACAATCGGAGATCGATCGAACATACAATCAAGATGCATTGATAATAATGGGTGACTGGAATGCAAAAGTTGGGAACAGAGAAGGTTCAGTAGTTGGAAAACATGGATTCGGTGACAGAAATGGAGCTGGAGAGACAATGATTGAATTTTGCACAATCAATGACTTATTCATAGAAAATACTTTTTCAATTTTGCATGTGATACTAATTTCCACATTTTGTGGGATATTTACTGGGAATGTGAGTAAATGCCGACTAGGCCACCAGAGTGCCCACTTCCACCGCTCTACTAATAATCAGAATTTTGAGATTCACACATGTTGATTTTTCCATTATAAGACCATAATTCATCTCCTTCCCTGTTGGACATGTGGATTGTTCTCAGGCTTAAAAAAAAATTATGAGTAAAGCTGATGTATCATTTTGGCTTATAATTACAATATCAATCATTCATACTTTTTTAAACCAACAGATAGTCAATTTTTTAAAATAGTTGATTTAGGCATCTGCAGTGGTGACTTCAACCTCTACTCCAGGCTCAATTCTGATGGAGGTGATCTGCTTGACAATCTCAGAAGGGCTGTGCAAGTTAATAAGTCGCTTTGTGGATCCTTATCTGGAAACGATCCCAGGTCTTGGAACCTTCCCCACAAGGAGTCTTCCTTGTAGTGATTCAGAGTCTTGATAGGTATCCTAACCAGTGCCTTCACCTTCAGGTTCTTCTCCTTTGTGCATCTGATCAAGTCAGCACACACCTTTTCCAGGGATTTTACCTTGAGGCTGGTCAGGGTAATTCTAATCTGGTGACTGGCCACCTCTGTTTCCACGGATGTCTTTCTGGTGTCTTTAAAAGCCATGGCTGCTTCCAGAGGTACGCAGTTCGAATCCACCAGGAGCTCTACTGGAGAAGGAGGAGCAATCTCTTCCTGTATCAGTCAGATCAGATTTGACGGTACACACAAAAATAAAATAAATTAAAAAAAAAAAAAAGCAGCCATGGCTGCAGTGCAGCTTCCCAACCAACTTGTTCCCCAGAGAGAGAGAACAGCTGAGTTAGGAGCCTGCAGCAGTGACCACACCTCCCTCAGAGAGCCATTCATACATTTTTATAAAATCCTAAGATTAATAGGCTCTATTGATGTCAGAAGATACTTTGAATATTGCACTAGAGTGCTGAGAAGCCAAAGCAAAGGAAAGAACTCAAGAAGTTAAGGAGCTGAGTAGATTTCAAAGGGCAGCATGGGAAGACAAAGCATTATAATGAAATGTGCAAAGAACTGGAGTTCAAAAATCAAAAGGGCCATACCTGCTCAGTGTTTTTTAAATTGAAGGAAATAAAGAACAAATCCAAGCCTTGAGTTGCAATACTTAAGGATGTTATGGGTAGAATACTGAATGATCCGGGAGGTATTAATAGAAGACTTAAGGATTATACAGTCACGGTACCAAAAAGAATTGGCTGACACAGAAGAATTTATTGAAACAACATACGATCAAGAGGCAATGGCAACAAAGGAGGAAGTTCAGGCTGCTCTGAAAGACTTGGCAAAAAATAAAGCCCCAGGAATTGATGGAATAGCACTAGATATATTTCAACAAACATGCTACCCTGGACGTGCTGACCAGGTTGTGCCAAGAAATCTGGAGGACAACTATCTGGCTAACTGACTGGAAGAGGTCCATATTTATTCCCATTCCAAAAAAAGGTGACCTGACAGAGTGGGGAAATTACTGAACAATATCACTCATATCACACACAAGCAAGATCCTGTTGAAGATTATCCAGAAACGACTGGAACAGTACACTGAGAGAAAATGTCCAGAAATACAAGCTGGGTTTAGAAGAGGCCGTGGCACTAGATACACCGCCAATCAATGTCAGATGGATCTTGGCAGGAAGGAAAGAGTACCAAAGGGATATCTGTTTCATTAACTATGCAAAGGCATTTGACTGTGTAGATCACAACAAATTGTGGTTAACCTTAAGGAGAATGGGAATCCCAGAACACTTGATTGTGCTTATGCGAAACCTATACTTGGACCAGGAAGCAATTCTCAGAAGAGCAGAGAAACCATGCATGGTTCAAAATCAGAAGGTGCATCAGGGATTCATCCTGTCTCCATACTTTCTCAATCTATATGCAGATCATTCAGGAGGCTGGGCTTTATGAAGAGGAAGACTCATCAGCAACCTGTTATGCAGATGATACAACCCTGCTTGTTCAAACTGAGGACCTGAAGCACTTGCTGCAGAAGGTCAAGGACTGCAAGATGGATTAGAGCTCAACATCAAGATGACAAAGATTCTTACCACTGTGCCAATTGGCAGCATGATGAAGAGATTGAGGTTGTTAACAGTTACAGCTTTCTTAGCTCCACAGTCAACACTCTTGGCAGGCACCAGCAGTCAGGAAATCAAAAGACGAATTAGGTAAATCTGCTGTCAGGGACCTTTCCAGAGTACTGAGAAGCAACGATGCAGTCTAGAGACTAAGGTGCGCCTGATCCAGGCCATGGTGTTCGCAATTACTTGCTATGCATCAGAGAGGTGGACAGTAACTCAGGATGACAGAGGGTGCCTTTGAGTTGTGGTGCTTGTAAAGTGTCTTGAATATACCAAGAAAACAAACCAGTCTGTCTTGGAGAGGGTGAAACCAAGTCTCTCCTTGGAGGCTAGGATTTTGAAGCTCCATGTCACATACTTTGGGCATGTGGCCACAAGGGATCAATCCTTAGAGAAGGACATCATGCTCGGATGGGTGGAGGGACAGTAGAGAGGAGGATCTCAGATGAGATGGACTGATACAGTAACTAGGGCAATGGGAGTAGGTGTGTCACAGTGAGACTGGCTCACAATAGGGTAGGCTTCAGAGCTGTTGTACACAGGGTATACTGTTGTACACTTTGAGTCACAGGTGACCTGACGGCACATAAGATTAATATGATTCTAAGTCACCCTTTTATTATATTTACCTTTCCCTTCACCCAACTTATTTTCACTCCCCTCTACCTTTCAGTCCTAGTAACCATCCAAGAGATTCTACTTGTGTTGTAAACCTTCCCTTAGCTTTTTATCAGTCTAATACTATAATAGTCTTTCTGTGGCTTATTTTTTGCATACCATAACATCCTCTAGATCTATCAATGTTATGCAGTGTTTTTTCAGTGTTGCATGTAACATAGAAAGTAACATGCCAATCTGTTTTCCAGAGTAACTGGACATTACCACCAGCAATGCATGAGGATTTACAACTGAGGAATTCCAGACACAGAGCCAGGGTAGGGGTGGTGATAGGCAAGGAAATATGGAGGCATCTCCAGACTTAATATTACCCTACAGTTGAGGTTAATTATTATTGTTAGGTGTCATTGAGCATGATTAATAGCGAACAGACCTGAATCCTGTCCTATACTGTGTAACCTCTTAATATCCCATTTTCTCTCTCTCCACATCTAAATTTTCCTCCTCTTGTCACTGACCAATATCCCCTCTCATTCTATCCTAATCAGCACCATTCCACTTTTAAGGGGCCTGCTTCTTTTGACATGAATGGGCTTTATTTCATTTGCTTTTCCTATACCACCTATCTTCCACCCTCCTGTCTTGTAACTGTGTAGGTAAAAGGGTACAGTTCCTGTGCCAATGTCATAGTATAGTCCTTTCAGGTTCAGAGGTCAGCCTTGGCTTGGTTTGGCTACATTAGAATCTCTACTAGGGAATATGCAAGTATTTGAGAGGTGAAGGGTGCCCAAGACAGAGATTTGGGATTTAGACTGGAGGAGACAGAAAGTGGACCTGAACAGTCCTGATTTCTGGGACTAGAAGACACTTAAGTCAAACCTCCACTTCCACCACTGAGCCAACGGGTGCTACTATCTTGAGTTGAAAAAATGCTCAAAGGCATCTCAAAGATGCTCAGGACTGGGATGGCAAGATGCAGCTGAGAGACTGCAAGGCCTGGAGATGGGGGGCTCTCAATCTTGGCTCTAATCCAGAGGTACTTCAAATCCTGGTGGTGTGAAGTTTCCTTATAGCACCATCTGCAGGACCCTGAAAGTGGTGGTGATGGTAGGTGGACTATGACCAGGATTTCAGGGATCAGGGCACAGATCAGACTCCATGTTCTGCTCCCTTTCCCCTTTAATTGTAAATGCCAATGCTAACATCCACTTCAGCCTGATGAAGCAGCTTGTCCTTCTTTCTATGTTTAAACCATGATGTAGTAGTATGAGGAAGAGACATGTAGACTGTAGACTTTTCAGCTTTTATTATAAAAAGAACATGAACCCAGCCCAGTTTTCCAATAAAAGTTACCAATGCAGTCTGATTTGGTCAGTGGGCTGGTAGATAGGAGCATGGCCTCCTCAGACCACTAAAAATTTTATTTCCCCAGCTGACCATTCAAAAAATGTATAAGCTGCTGTCTAGTTGCTCATTGGGCCTCATTGAAGCGGGTCACCATTGTCTTGTGCAGTGTTTCCTTATAGGACTCAGTTGAGGTGACCCCATAAGAGCTGCCGCGGGCACCCAAGCCAGAGCCTCGCACCCGAGTCTGGGCCTGTGCGAGAGATGCAGGCTTTCAGGTTGGCCAAGAGGAAGATGGAGGCAAAATGGGGATGCAGTGGGAATGGGAAATACTTGAGCGTTATCAATTATTTTATGGAATACTTACCTCAATGGGCGCTATAATGCCCTGCTTTTTGCGGCCCAAGCCACTGCCCTCTTTCCAGCCCATGGCCTGGAGCATCCGACTGCCAATGTTGTCACTACCCAGCCCATCCCGTGTAGGCTGCTCAAAGTCCCTGAAGGAGATAGTAGTTCAGCATGAGTAACCTGACAGAATAACCTAACAGTCCCTAGGCCCCCTCACTTGGTCTTGAACACTTACACAGAGGCAGCAGACATGCCACCATACTTTCTCCTCTTGGGCTCTGGAGGTTCAGGGATCCCGTATTTCTCCCTGCGTTCAGCTGCACGGTCCCGGTACTTCATTTGCTGAAAGTTTATTTATGCATATGAATAATGGAAAGTTGTGGGCATCGGTGGTATGAAACAGGACCTGGGCTCATGAGAAGCTGCAATGTGGATGAGGAGACCCAGATCCCAAGGAGATCCCAAGGAACAGGACATAGTGAGAATAAGCAGCCAGGATAAGTGAATTTGGAAAAAACCTCAGAGATGGGACAGAAGATGACTGATGGCTGTATTCAGGCAAAGGAATTAAATTCCAGTGAGCTATGAAGATGGCAATTTCCAAGGGGATAAAAAAGATGGAGTTCTGGAATGGGTCATGCCTTACTCACCTCCATGTCATTCTTTTCTAGTGCTTCCAGTTCGTTTTCTGACAGGTGGGCACGTCGATGAATCTCAAGGTTTTGCTGTAAGAGACAGGAAGAAGAGTTAAGCTGCTGGTCTGAAATCAGTCAGGATTCAGAGTTCCCTGCTTCCTCAGCCACCTTGTGGAGCCCTGAAAGCTGCTGGTGTCGGATGAGGGCCTCCTTGCTAGGGAACTGACGCCGACAGAGTAGGCAGGCCAGCTTCTGCCAGTCAGTGAGCTTTTCCTCTCGCTCGGTGCCCCCTCGTTCCTGCTCTTCTTCGCTGTCACTCTCCCCACTGTAGGCTGCCACCAGCCCCCGTGGTGGGCTCTGTAAAAGATGAGAGTGAAGGTGGAAGAGTCAGATCTAGTTGGATCAGAATGTCCTGCCCTTCTTCCTGCCCTGGGCACTCACTGGACGGTCATCACTGGCCAATTTTGGGAGGTCCATGCTGGTGTGCTGCCTCTCAGTTAGTGCTCCCTAGGGTGTAAGGACACAGAAATTCAGGATTTTTTTTTTGCTCCCTGCCCCCCCGAAATTCAGGATTTTATAGTAAAACTGAAGGCACCTCTGGTGGTTCTAGTGGTAAGGAACTGTGCTGCCAACGTGAAGGCATGAAGTTTGAATCCACCAGCTGCACTACGGGAGTATGATGGGCAATCTCCTCCCATGCAATTTACTGCCTCTGAAAACCCACTGGAGGATCAGTTATAGGTCAGTTCTGACTTGACAGTACATTAACAATATTAGTGAGACTAACCAGAAGAATGACAAAATTGAGGGAGGGGGAGCAGATGGATGGCTACAACATACCTTCTTCTCAAGGATGGCATAGCCAGCATCCGCAGTGGCTGACTCTCGCCTTTCATCATCTCTCAGGGAGCTGATGGGCTGGAAGCTGTTTTTAAAGTTTTCCTTTTGTTTGTTGAGGCTACGGGCCCATCGTTCCATGTCCTTGGCAATCTATGGGCAAGGGTGAGGTGAGGGCTGGGTACTTAAGAGCTTCCCAGTCTGCTTGCTGTTAGGTGCCATCAAGTTGAATACAAATTACAGCAACTCTTTGAATAGATCTGAATCCTACCCTATTCTGATCATCTCTGACAAATTCAAGCCCACTGCTGCAGTCACTGTGTAATTCCATCTTGTTATGGGTATTCCTCTCTTTTACTGAACCTCCACCTTTCTAAGCCTTCCTGTTATGTACCATTGAGTCACTTGCAACTCATATTGACCCTATGTGTAACAGCTCTGAACCTTGCTCTATCCTGAGCCAATTTCATTGTTTCCAACACACCCACCCCCATTACCCTAGTCACTGAGTCAATCCATCTCCATCCTGGGTCTTCCTCTCCCACTGTCCCTCCACCCTTCCAAGCATGATGGCCCTCTCTAAGGACTGGTCTCTCCTGGTCACATGCTCAAAGTATGAGACAAATCTTCAACATCCTAGCTTCCTGGAAGCATCCTGGTTTCAACCTCTCCAAGACAGACCTGTTTGTTCTCCTGGCAGTTCACGGTATGTTCAACACTCTTCTCCAGTATCACAACTCAAGGGCACGGAATCTTCTTCTCTCATTCTTAGTTATTGTTCAGCTCTCCGATGCACAGTAAGTAACTGCAAAGACCATGGCCTGGATCATGTGTATTTCAGTCTCTAGACTGACAATGTTATGTCTCGGTATCCTGGAGAGGTTCCTGACAGTAGATCTTCCCAACGCAATTTGTCTTTTGACAAATTTTGGCACTGTTGGTGCCAAAAGTGTTGATTGTGGAATCATGCAAGCTGAAGCTGATAACTCTTCTCAATATCTTCTCAGTTATCATGAAGCTGCCAAATGGTCCAGTGATGAGAATCTTTCGTTTTCTTGATGTTGAGCTTCAATCCTTATTGATGACTTTATTCCTCTCCAACAGACACCTCATATCCTCCTCAGTTTCAGCAATCAAGTACTAGAAACCTCCATATTCTTGGGGGGGGGGCACCAACTCCCTTGGGCAATCCAGTTTTCTTTTCCTATAACCCCAAATTAGGCTCCAATCACCATCACATCTCTCTAGCTTGAATTACTGCAACAGACTTCACGTGGTCTCTGTGCTACTATTTTGACATCTTTACACAGTATTCTTTATTAGTGAAGGTTTACAAAGAGATTTCATGCATTCATCCATTCATGTACACTTTCCTCCCTCTCCCTCCCTAATTCCCTTTACAGGCTATTGTCATATACATTGTTTCTAATTGTCCACTCCTTTCTGACTGTCCTTTCCACTTCCAGTTTAGCGGTCAGTATACTTCTTTTCCAGCTCCTCCTCCATCTTGATCCTATTATTACAATAGTAGGATTAAGTAGTATTTGTCTCTTTGTGACGTAAATACTACACTTAGTACAATGTCTTCTAGACTTATCCATGTTGTGTAGTATTTTGAAAGTTCATTGTTTTGCAGTGCTGCATAGTATTTCATTGTGTCAATGTATCATTTCTCTAGCCATTCATTTGTTGACAGGCACTTGGGCTGCTTCCATCTCTTCAGTATTGTGAATAATGCTACAATAAATATTGGTGTGCATACATCAGTTTTTTTACAGCTCTAGTTTCTTTAGGGTCTATTTCTAATAGTGGGACAGCTAGATCAAATGGTGTCTTATTTTCAACTTCTTGAGGAAGCACTAGATTGTCTTCCATAGTGGTTGTACCATCTTACATTCCCACTAGCAGTGTAGCAAGAGTTCTGATCTCTCTGCATCCTCAGCAATATTTGCTGTCCTGTTGAACTTTGCTATTGCTGCAGGCAGGGGTGAGATGATCTCTCATTTTTGTTTTAATTGAGCAGCTAGCGATTTTGAACATTTTTTTCCATGTTTTCTGGCCATCTGACCTCCTTTGGTGAGGTTTCTAGTCATTTCTTATGTCCATTTAGTGGTTGGGTTATCTTTTTCTTGTTGAGGTGCTGGAGTAGTCTATACATTTTAGATATGAGTGCCTTATCAGATAGGTCATTGCTAATTATTTTCCAGTCTTTGAGTTTCCTTTCACTCTACTGGAGCTTTTTGACGCATGTAAGGATTTGATTTTTTGAAGGTCCCCACTCATCTATCCTGACTGTAGGTTTTTCAGTATGCTTAGATGTCAATGTATGCCATATATTAGGGCTTTGGAGTTTGTTCCTCAGTTTTCTATTATTAACTTTATAGTTTTTGGTTTCACTCCTAGGTTCCTGATCCATCTTGAGTTGTCTTTTGTGTATGGTCTAAGTCTTGCTTCAGTTTTCTGCAGATGGTTATTCAGTTTTGCCAGTAGCATTTGTTAAAGAGGTGGTTGTTTTCCCACTGATTAATTTCATTTTCTTATCAGTCAGCCATAGATAGATGGGTTGATTTCTGGGTTCTTAATTCTATTCTGTTGTCTGTCACTGTATTATGCAGTCTTGACTACTATGGCTGTGTAGTAAGTTTTAAGGTCAAGGAATGTGATTATCTACTTTCTCTCTTTTAGTAATGCTTTAGCTTATCTGGGGCGGTCTCTTTCATTTCTGGATAAAATTAGAAATTGTCTTTTCCATCTCATTGAAGATCTGTATCTGTACTGCATCAAATCTGTAGACTGCTCTTGGTAGAGCTGTCATTTTCATGATATTGAATCTTCCTATCCATGAGTATGATATAATCTTCTACTTACCTAGGTCTCTTTTGTTTTCTGTAGTTGTGTTTTGTAATTTTCTTTATATCAATCTTTTGTATTTCTGGTTAGATTTGTTCCCAAGTATTTTCTCTTGTGGTTGGATATTAATTAGTATTGTTTAACTTCATTTTCTATGTTCTCTCTGCTACTGTAAAGAAATCCAACTGATTTTTTTGGTTGTTGTATACCATCAAATTGGATCAGACTGTCACAGGAGATTGCCCTCCTTCTCCAGCGGAGCATCTGGTGAATTCAAACTGTATGCCTTTGGGATTGTACTACAGCTTCTTGCCACTAGCCATCAGAGCTCCCTCCAACTGATTTTTTATGTTGATTCTGTATCCCGCTACTTTGCTGAATTGGTCAACGGCCAACTATGGTCAATGGTTTTCTTGCTGAGTCTTTGAGATTTTCTAAGTAAATGATCATATAATCTGCATATAGGGATAGTTTTATCTTTTCTTTGCCAATCTGGATGCCTCTTATTTCCTTCTCTTGCCTTATTGCTCTTGCTAGGACTTTTAATACAATAATGAATAGGAGCGGTGATAGTAGGCACCAAAAGCCTTTTCCACAGCAACTGAGATGATCATATGGCTCCTGTCTTTTAATGATATGATGGATTATGTTTATTGTTTTTCTTATGTTGAACTTAACATGACTGCTATGTTTTTTAATGTTGTTGGATTCTACTGGTTAATATTTGTTATGGATTTTTGTGTCTATGTTCATGAGAGATACTGATCTGCAGTTTTCTTTTATGGTTTCAGTTTCAGAGTTATGTTTATCTCACAGAATCAATATGGGAATATTCTTTCTTTTTCTATTTTCTGAAATATTTTATGTAGAATTGGTGATAGCTTTTCTCTGACGTTTAGTAAAATTGGCTGATAAAGTCATCTGGTCTAGGGATTATTATTATTTTTTTTTGTCATTGGGAGTTTAGAGCACGCTTAAAAAATATAAATTACTTCTCAATCTCAAACATTACCTCCTTAAACCCCTTTCTTAGCTTCCTATCATACTAAGAGGTGTCAGATTATGGATAGAGTGGAGGGCCCATCTGGGAAAACAGGTAAGGAGAGTTTGAGGAAGAATAAGCCAAGTGAGAGAGGTAGTATAAAACTTTGTATTTCTCTGCTTCTTATCATGGCCTCTCTTCTACTGTGCTCATATTTCTCTGAGAGTCATCAACACTAGTATGTTTTCTATGGTGGACCATGCACTGAGGAGACAGTCCTGGTTCAGGGAACACTGCAAAGCAGCAGAATGACTAAGCACCCCATTTCTCTTAACAACAAGAACTACCCACTTATGCATCCATCACTTCACTTCCTTCATCAGTTGAAGGCAATAGATAACAGTACACACTTATTGCAATTGCTGAAGTTCCAGTGCTCACCTGCTGAGCAGTCTTGGTTTTGTGCTTCTCCTTCTTTTCTTTGCCCTCCTTTGAGGGTGCCCCTGCCTCCTTATGCCCATCAGCTGACTGCTCCAAGGCAGGTACATAGGTCCGCCTTTCCCCATCCCAGTATAGATACTGCTGGCTCTGAGCATTGTAATAATACTGGGTGTGGGAAAAAAGAAACATGAGGAAGATGATAAGGGCCAGCTGTCACCCAACCCCATCCCACTCCCTGGGTGGCCCTGATCACCTGGGAATTTGGGTCATAATAGAGGCCAGTCTGGGGGTCATAGTAGTATCCAGAGGTCTCATCATACTGGTAGGTAGAAACATCAGGAACAGCTGGAGGGGAAAGAACAGAGGATCACATTCCTCTATGCTTTGTTAAGAACACCCCATTCACTACCCACAGGTCATGTTAACTCACGGTACTGGCTGTAAGAATCCTGGGCAGTGGGGCTGGTGGCTGGTGGTAAGGCAGAGCTGGGATGGGTGGGGCTCTGGAGTTCAGATTTGAGTACAGCAGGTGACATAATGGTATATGACTGGTCATGGGGCCAGACAGGGAAACAGGGTTCAGTATCTAGTACCATACTGTCCACCCAGAATACCCTCCCTGTTTAAGATACCTCTAGAGTTCATTCACCTGGTTAGGGGTAGTAGAGCCCTGGCTACTGCTTGCCTCAGCTTGATAGATGCTGGGGGCAGCACCAGGCTGGGTACGAGAGAAAGCCTGTAGTGACACAGAATCTGCCCCAGGATCGAGGGATACCTCAGGGCCTGTAAGAAGGACAAGGGGAAGAATGCCTATGAATGGCAGGGTCCAGAACCTTATGCTGGCTTGGGGTAAGATGTGGGGGAAGAGCTCACCTGCTCCAGCTGGGTCCCCTTTGGTTCCAGTGGTGCCGGAGCCCTTGGTGCTTTTGACGTAGCCATGGGTATAGAGGGAAGACTCTGTGCCCTGGCTGCCGCCATATCCCTCATCCTGTTGATAGTAGCTGTAGTCGACTGTTGGCTCCTCAGAGGTGGCCCAGGCACCTTCCCCACCCTGGGAGGCCTAGGGAAACGTGGGAGGGGCTTAGTAGAACAAGAAGGCAAGCAGGAGGAATAAAGAACCGAATAAAGAGTATTGGTTCCATAGACGAAATCTGTCTACTTGACAGAAAAACATGTAGCCCTCAAACTGCCCAATGTAGCAGAACTAGGCAGTGGCAAAATCAAGACTTATAAAAGATACTTGCCAAAATGTTTCTAGAGTAGATACTGGGGATGTATGTGTATGTGTGCTGGGTGTCAGACCAAATAAGACAGCAGCTTTCTATTTCTGTTTTCTCTCAATCATACATACATTTCCTTTTATTAAAGAACTTAGGACAACTCAAGAAAAGTAAAAACAAAAGAAAATAAGACAGCCCAACCACATAAAATAGAAAAACACCCATTTAGGTGTTTGAAATGAAAGCCTAGAGGTGCTGACTAGGAAGGAAGTGATAGTAAGAAATCAAGTGGTAGTTTGGCAGAAGGTTCAAGTAGACTCAAAATTCATGATGGCCACTTTAAGATTTTGCTAAACAGAGATGGAGAGGGATGCCAGGTATCAGGGTGCTGAGGGCTGAAAAGAAGTCTGAGTACCTGTGAGATGGCCCACTGGGCTGCAGCAATGGCAGTGCTAGCCACAGAAGCAGCATTGATGCGACTGCCTTCATTGGAGGTCATGTCCCTGGGGAGGATGTCAGAAACTTAGAGTGAAGAGGGAGGCCCCAAGCTGAGAGTCAAACTAGAAAGGGACAGAGGTGGAGCTCTGACCTCTTAGAACCTTTGGCAAATTCAACGTTGATGGCCTTGCCGTCAATTGTAAGAGGTGGGTGCAGGGCCTGCAGTATTTGTAGCAGCTGTGCTGCCTCCTGTGGGGAGGAGGGTATAAAAGGGCAGAAACAAAGGTCAGGTCCGGGAGGCTCCCGGTTCCATTGTTCTACATCCAGGCTTGGGGTCGCGGTGGTGGGCTAGAATGAGGGTTTCTCCTTCCCATCCTAGAGGGTCCTCCCAGCCACCCCGGGGGCCGGGACCCTTGATGCCCGGCCCCCCCCTTGTGCCGCCCTCACCACGATGGTGGATAGCTGGATGAAGGCGAAGCCACGATTCAACTGGGTCTGCTTGTCCTTGATGACACGTACATTGGAGGAGGACAGTACTGCATAAGGTGCCAGGGCACCCAGGATGGAGTCCATGGTGCTATGTGGGTTCAGGTTACGTAAAATAATAGCTGTGGAAAGGGGTTTAGGATTAGGGAGTGACCCTGACATTATAATTTCTCCTTTTGGCAACTCCCCACTGCTTTATTCTGGCCTCCACCATGCCTCTGCTTTCTCTCACTTCTCCCTCCTGAATACACTTTTACTTCTGAGTCTTAAATCTCAACTTAGGCACTTATCTACAGAGGTATTTCCCAAAACACCTAAATGTCACATCAAGTAATACTCCTACTAAGTGAAGACCTCTGGGAGGACTCCTGGTCACCAACCACCATGTCTCTGGCTTTACAGAGCCTTGTCCAGACACCAGAGGGCAAAGACATGAGGAACATCTGACTCACTGTCATTGGCATTCTCCGAGCTTGGCTCTGAGCCCTGTGACAGGGCTTGGGTAGCCAGTACTCCCTGGGCCTGGTAGGGCTGCGGTAGAGGTAGCAGACCTTGACTTAGCTCCCGTCCACTCAGTGGCAGTGTCTGCTGGTCCAGCCTTGTGTTGATAGGCAGCTTCTGCTCTGCTTCTGTCAAAGGTGGAAAAATGACAGTTGACAAAGGGGAAGAGTCTACAGCTAGTCACCTTCTTACCCATCGCAAGTCCTGAGCATTGATCCCTCTTCTCCCACCCATCAACACCCCAGGGAGTGGGGTGGTGGTAGAAGGGCCTCACCTGACTTGGGTACACCACATTTGAAGCACTTCTCACGTCGTTTGAAGTTCTGGACTCCACACTGCGAGGCACAGGCCAGGTGATGAGAGGGTTTGCCAGTGTACTCTCCAAATATGGATCCAAATATAGATTCCCCCAGAAAGACTCAAAATGCCCCAGGAAGTGGGTTCCATGGATTCCAAAGTAGTTGGGGGCTGTCATTCTAAGTTTTGTGAATATCCCCTTTACATGGTCTCAAATTTGTTCCCAGTGCCAGATACTCACCTCAGGAATCAACAAATCCCCTTCCCCCATTATACTTCTACCTCCTTTCTTTCCCCTCTTCAAGGGGTACCAATCGCAATCCCTTTAGTAGACTACTTCTTCTCAAAAGGTGTGTCCTATTCAATGTTTCTGTCCCTAGAATCTTGCAAGCCTCTTTTCAAATGCCTACCCCTTCTTTATCTCCAGGACTGGGTTGGATTCTGTTGCTCTTGAGACATCTTCTTTAGCTATTCCAGTCACTGGAGACCCCTGAGTTTCAATCACTTTTGTTTCTGTTCCATAGCCAAGTATTAAGCACTGATATTATTCCAGGTCCTGCCCCATGTGCCAATGATGAGGCCTCTGCCCTTATGGCCTAATATCAGGGAGGCAGATGTAGCCTAAAGAATGACACATATTGTCTACATGGATTGTCTATTGACAGGAAGCTCAGGGAAGGGCATAAGAAGTGTCTCACAGAGTTGGTGACAGTTTAAGAAGGTTGCAAAGAATCTGGGACATTTGATCCAGAAGTCTGTTTTTGTTGGAAGGGGATTTTTAGCAGAGGGAACAAAATATTTTCCATAACTGATTAAGAAGAGTAAGGAGAAAGGCAAAAGTTGAGGCTGGAAAGGGAAAATGATATTAACTGATGGAGGATCTTCACACCTAAGCTGAATTCTTGGAGTTTTAAGCAGAGAAGGAAGGTCATGCTAAGAACTGCTTTCTACAAACATTACAGTGAAAGGGCAAGAGAAAGAAGCAAGAGGCCAGCATACCAGAGAGGGGTCTGTGGTAATTGTCTGGGTCAGAGGACAAGAGGACTGGCACAAGCAGTGGAAATGGCAAGGGACAGATGGTGGCATTTCTGTGATGGAAGCAACAAGATCTGGTGACCAATAGGAGATAGAGGAGAAGGAATCAAAGATGAACCCCTGGTTTCAAGGGATGGAGTTCGGCTATCACTCTGTCCTTATCACTCCAGAGAAACCAAAAACTGCCTCTTTGGTATAACTTTTTTTTCTTCAATCAGAGATGCCACTTTCTGTCACTAGGTGGAGTACTTCTTGGGGAGTGGGTTAGGGCCACTACAACTTCAATCTTCCCTGTATGTTTCAAGATTAACAGATGGCTACAGGGGGTAGGGGGCAGGGTTATGGGAACTCAAGGCTGGCTTCAGTTGGTTATGACGCTGGCCACCAAGGGAAGGGCCTTAAGTGTAGACCTGAACCCACTGTGATATCCATGGCACCTAAGATCAGGAACAAATTACAGCTCATCTGAGTCTCTCAGCTTCCTCAATATGGAGATTATTGTAAAACCTACAATCATATCCTTTGGCAATAAGCTTTAGTGTGGCTTTGTCAGAGTGGTCTTTTAGACTAGGTCAATTAGTACAGACTCTCAGAACTTTTATTTCATAATAAGAGTGTCAACTGTGGACAAGGTGCTGTCCTAAGTGTTACGCACACATCAACACACTTTAATCCTCTTAACCACCTTTTTGGGAGAGGTATAATTATTCCCATTTTAGGGATAGAGAAAGTGGGGCAAAGAGAGGTTAAGTATACTGGTGATAGCCTAATCTCAGTCAGTTGGTGCCAAAGTTCACATTCTACATACCACTAAATTAGACACTCAAATAAATATTTGTTTAAAGTTTACTGAGACATCAGGCAAGACTGTATTTCATGAGGGCAAAGAGCCTGGCAGTGAGTGAAAGCTCAGCACACATCTGTGGGTAGATGGATGGCCAAAGTATCTGAGCTGAGACAGTCTTTAACACCCACACCCCTCAAAGGTCCCAGAGAGAGATAATGCTCTCTGCTGCTTTTCTCCACGGCAAGTGCGGCTCATTGCCCCTGTACCTTATTACACAGCCAGTCCTCATTGATCTTGGGCTTGGGGTCGCTGTAGTGCATGGACACCTTCTGGCCCAGAATGTTGAGAGAGTGCTGTGGGAAAAAGCAGACCACAATGAGGCCCAGGCAACAGTGCCCCATGCACTGTCTCAGCATAGGAGAAGAAAGTGATTGAACCCTTCAGCTGAATGGATGAGGGACAAGGAATGGAGGGAGGCTGGAGAATGGATGGAGGGGGGAAAAGGAAGGGAAGGAGGGAGGGAAAGTGCCACAGCTTTCAGGTGCAGCTATCTGCTGCTTTTCCAGGCACACAGATGCACACATGTGAACACATACCACCAGGCACACAGTGCTAATCGACGCCTACCAGACAGTGGGGAATATCCTCACTGTACCCTGGCATTACCAGGCCACACCCAGGGCCAGTATTACACAGGCTACACTTGGGGATAAGGGAAACAGGAAGGAGGGAATAAGAGAGGGAGGGTGGGGGGGGAGAGGGAGGGAGAAAGAGAGCGCACGAGAAAGAGAGAGCACACACGCTCGCAAGAGAGAGCGCATGTGAGAGCATCCCCGCACTAATGCTAGAGGAGGGGAGAAAGAAAGAGCCATATTTGAAGGACAGAAGTTCCTGACATGAGGCTGTCTTCCCATGGATGGCTGGGTCCTTGGTCCATCACACTAGCCTACTGATCTTGCAGATGGCCTAGAGCTGCTCCTGTTGGATTCCCCCATTTCATCACATTTGTCTCTTCTGTCTTTGCCCTCCCCAAATCCTTCTTTCTCTGATAGTTTTTTCTTCAGGGTTCTATCCTAGTGATCTTGGCTGGGGATAGGTGGCCAGAGCAATCCTTGGATCTTTGAAGGTCTCAAAGTTGCTGGATAGAGAACCTATGCTGGGCTAGGGGAAGAGGCTCCCTTCCTTGCTGGCTGTGCAAAAGCTCCTTGCAAAGGCAAAGGCTTAACTAAGGTGGTAGCTTTTGTTGGTTGGTAGGTGTGGTGGGAGGGGCAGGGGTAACCAAGGAGTCTGAGGCATGAAAAAAACACTATCACACTTGACTGGTGCTTTTGAACAACAAAGCAGTGCTGTCTTCTTGCACAGAAATACAAAATTCACATGAAGGGAGAAAGCTAACCAAATGGGCTGGCTAGTTAGTGTGCCAACAACCCAAGTTTCCCAGTGGCTGGATCTCTAGCAGTGCTTGAGAGTGGAACAAAGTCCTGGCTCTGGCTAACCCTAGAGCAAGGTGGCCTCCCTGGGATATACCACATCTAGGGCCCAGGCTGGTTGAACCTCCTTCCCTGGGGACTGGGCCAATGGGTGAGCATGGGTTCATGATGGGAAGCCCAGTGGGGTAGCGAAAGTAGGAAGAGGAAACAGTGAGGATCAGGAAAGGGGAAGTGGGTGAGGAGAATGGGGCTCAGGGCCACAGGACAGGGAACTGTGTCCATAAGAACCAGGCGATGGGGAGCGCTCGATTACAAGTAGTATTTGTTTGGGGAGGGGGGGTTCAAGTGCAGCAAAGCAACCTGATTGGCTTCCATCCATCGTGTAGCGTCCTGCAAGTGACTAAACTCGACGAAGGCGAAGCCCCGGCTCTGACCTGGAGACAGCATTCAGATACAGACGCAGTGGGTTAGTCAACAGCTTTGGAGACATGGTGTTCCCGGGGGCAGGACCCGAGGGGAGAGGACCATGGGGAGGGGGGAAGAAGGAAGGGGAACAGGAAAAGGAAAGAAGAGAGAAAGTAATTTAGAGAAAGACTAGGAAGGTGGGAGACAACAAAGATGGCTGGTAAAGGGTGGGAAGAGGGGAGAAAGGAGAAAAACAGTAGGAAAGGGGCTGGACTACTGGGTGAAGGGAGTAAGTACACCAACTGGAAAAGAGGAAATTCAGGCAGAGAACTACCTTTCCAGCCTGAGGTGACACAGAAGTAGATTGTAGGGGGAGGCTACAAGTACAAATCTGTCTCCAATAAAAGGAAGGTGGGAAGGATGCTGGTTCCACATAGGCCAGAATAAATAACAAGGGAAGGGTCCACATAAGGCCATGGATACCCAGGAAAAGTCCTGTAAAAAGTGTTTAATCAAAGAAGCAAGAGGAGTTGGGCTATGTGAGGTTAGGAAGGCTCCAGGCCCATGAGAAACTGGGGTGAGTTACAGACAAATCTTAGCCTTTCCTCAGGCCTCAGGAATTGGGTCTTACCAGAGAGCAACCTTAGGGCCAAGATAAGGAGATTATAATGCAGGTCCCATCAGAGAGAGGGCAGATGGGGGTCAGTACTAATTAGAAGGATGTGAGAGTAAGAACCAAGGGGTGCGTGGAGGAAGAACCTAGGGCCACAGAAGGGGCTACAGTTGGGATACCTCCTTGAATGGTATGCTCTAAGTCAGTATGAGGTTGAGTTGGTATGGAACAGTGGAAGACCTACATGCTACCAAGAAAGATCTCTAACTTGGCCAAAGTTGGGGAAGGGATTTAAGGTTTGAGACTTCAGGAAGTATCTCCTTCTTTAGAGGGTTACACAGGGCGAGTTTAGGTATGGTTGGGCTGGGTTTAGGAAGTAGGATAGGATGGTATCATCAGAGGCAGAGAGAGAAGGGAAGGGAGGGAAGTCTTATATATGTAGGGGCCAGTAGAGAAATAGAGATGGAGAGAGGAGCTTAGACAGAGTGAGGTTTCACTATACCTGCCTTAAAGGGCCTAGGCTATAGGTCCTGGAGAGACAACTCCCTCCCTACTACCCTGCTAACCTCAGACCAACTCCAAGTAGTCCTACAAGAAGGAAGGAGGCTAGGAAGACCTACCTGCTCCTTGGGATGTATCCTTGACTAAGAGCCATTTCCTACCTTCCCTCTTGTGGTACATGGGTAGAACTGTGTCAGATCTACTTTCTGACCAAAGGCTATTTATTACCAGAAAATTATCAGGTGGAGTGAAGGACAGGAGAAAGAGTAGAAAGGGGAGGAAAGAATGATTGGGAGGGAGAAGTTACCATCTCAGATACTTAAGAGTTCCAAAGAGAAAATTCCTCAGAGCCTGGCCCTGGCCCTGCCCCCAAGGAGCACTCAGCTTAGAGCTGCATCCCCTTTCTGAATATGGATGATGTTGCTGGGAAGAGCTGTGAGGAGAGTAGGTTGAGGAAGAGAGAAGGAAGAAAGGGTTACCCGCCCCCAAACTGCCCACTCCCAGCTGTGGAAGGAAGGCAGGGAGGGTGAGGCAAAAGAAGACGGGAGTATCTGAAGGCTGAAGCTAGCCAGTGGAAGGGAGGGCACTGGGAACAAAAGCTCACCTGAGGATTTGTTCCGCATTAGCCGGACCTCCCTTGCTTGGACTCCATGGGACTGCAGCTGGTCATGGATCTGCATGGGGAGATATAGTACAGGTTCAGCATAAGTAGAGTTACTGAATAGCTGACACTAGCTGGAGACCTCCAGTATCCCAAGGATTTATATACACTGTCTCTTCTCTTGCTTAGGGCTTTTATCCCAGCAACAACACTCTCAACCCCACTTCAGCTCTGTCTCTCTCTAGACTTGAAGAAAGTGATTCAAATGGAGAAAAGGTAAAGGATAGCAGCATGATAACCCTTGGGGCACTGAGAATAAGCAAGTTAGCAGATCATGCAGGCACCGGTGATCTGACAATGGGTTTGGTAGTACAAAATCAGGAATGCTGGGACACAATTCAGATCTGTCTTCAGGGGATTACCCTCAACACTGCACTAAGGGACTTATGACACAAATATCAAACTGGGAAGGACAGGAGTCTAGGCAAAACTCAGCTATTTGGCCAGCCCCTGAGAACAGCAGTATTTGAGGGAGGCACTTAAGAGTCTGGGAAAGTTTCCTTGAATAGGCCAGAAGCTACAGAGGCACTTTAGGATTTCAACCAGGTAAAGTAGGGACTCTATCTCTAAGTCAATGAGGCCTTTTGAAGAAGACTGGGAACCTGTGCCATTCTTAGGCCCAAGTTTTAACAACTCTGGGCCCCAGTTTCCTCATCCTGTTAAACAACAGAAAGGACATTTACAGTCCACAGGACTATCAAGTCAATGAAATGGAAAGGTAACAGAAGTCTACTGGGATTCCAAACATTCCAGGAACAGCAAGAATGTGAACTCTAAAACTCAGCTGCCCAGGCTTATTCCCCAGTATACCAACTCTGCTCTGCTACTCTTTTTTTTTTTTTTGTGGGACCTGCAGCAAATCCCCTTGCCTGCTTAGAAGCTTAGTTTCTGCATCTGTAGGGTGTAGATACAGAAAGTACCTTTCCTCCAGGACCACCATGAAGATTAAATTAGTCTAGTATGTGACCCATTTTGGGTTAAAAAATCTCAGCAAATACCAGTAATCAACTACTGTCTGACTATAGACAAGAGTAGGCACGACAAAACCTGCTATTGTTGACTTCTCTATAGGGTTTTCAAGGTTGTAAATCTTTAGAGAAGCAGACTGCCACATCTTTGTCCCATGGAGTGGCTAGTGGGTTTGAACTACCATCCTTTCAGTTAGGAACCGAGTGTTTTAACCACTGTGCCAAAAGGGTTCTTCATCAACCTTTAGAAGCTCTCAGATACACAGGTAGGACTTTCTTTGCTACAAGACGTTGTTAGGTGCCATCAAGTCACTAACAACTCAGAGTGACCCTATGAACAACGTATCTGCATCACACTGATCCTGTGCTAGCTTCATGATCTCCAACATGCTTGAGCTCCCTGTTAGTGCTACTGTGTCAATCCATCTTGTCATGCTCAAAATATGTGAGTTTCACCATCCTTGCCTCTAAAGAGCATCCTGGTTACACTTGCCCCAAGACAGATTTGTTTGTTCTTTTGTCAGTCCATGGTATATTCAATTCTCTTCCCTAATCCTGGAATTCAAAGGCTCTGACTCCTCTTTGGTCTTCCTTATTTACTGTCCAACTTTCAGATGCATAGGTAGTGGGGGTGGGGGTGGGAAAATAATAGCCTGGGGATCCAGAATACTTTAATCTTTAAATTGACGTTACTGCTCTTTAGTCCACTTTGGTGAGACTCTTGACAGATTTTCCCAGTATAACATATCTTTTGTTTTCTTTCTGCTACCACTGGTGCTGACTGTGGATCATGATGAAATTACAGACAACTTCAATCTTTTCTCCATATATCATTTTCACCACCTACTGATACAGTGGTGAGGATTTTTTGTTTGCTTGATGCTGAGATGTAATCCACATTTGATTGTCAGTAAATCTACAAACAAGGTTGTGACATTTGGTGCATTAAAGCAGGTTGTTGATGAATCTTCTGCCAATCCTGATGCCACATTCTAGCACTGATCCTGATACTAGAAATATCAGAGCAAGCTGACAGAAAATTCACTGGGGAGGGGGAACAAAGGGAATCAGGGAAACTAGTACCTTACAGAGTTTGTATGTGGATAGAGGAGGAGCGGGTATGAAAAAGGAACAAGAGGAAAGGGAGAAAGATGAGAAAGAATGTTATAAAGGGGGGGGGGAAGGGCAAGGAGACTGTCAGCAGCCAGAAGAGTCAAAGAACCCAATGCTCTGGTGCCAAGTCAGTGATGAGATTTAAGATACTGACACAGGGGGTGGGAGAGAGAATTTGAAGGAAATTTCAGAAAATCTCATGGGGATTCCCTAGGACAGGACAGTTGGGAACCACCAACATTTCTGCTACCAATAATACTAGCATTGCAGCACTGGATCTACTGAGGCCTAGCCCTTAACATAGGCAAAATGAATGGATGATTGGTGGAATATGTGTCTCCTGTGTGCATGACTGCCAGACCTATCCAACATATCTCTTCTGCACACCACAGGATGATGGGGCCTGCCCACAGAGGACAGATCATTGCTGGGGGCAGAGGGGATGAAAGGTGGTAAGGGAGGGAGTAGGGGAGAAGTTGAGGGCCCTGGAGGAAACCCAGTCTGGCCTCCTCTGCCACTTGCCCGGGACCATGGGGGGCACGTACGTCATCCTCAGTGGCTGCCTGGGGCAGCATCCTCAGCATGACGATGTTACTGGCCTTCTCCTCCTTCTCCTCCTCCTCCTCCTCCTCCTCCTCCTCCCCTTGCTCGGTCCGATAGTCCTGGTCTCGATAGTCGCCGTCTTGGGGGAAGGCTGGTGGGCCGGTGGGGCTGGGGCTGTGCCTGTGCCGCCGCCTACGCTGAGTCTCAGACCCTGGGGAGGCCTCGAAGGAATCCTGGCCAACAAAACGAGATGAGAGACACCAGACATGTAGTCAGTCTGGGGCGAGCCTAGGGGCTGGCCACTGGCTCTTCAAGGCAAGCAGGCTCTGAAAGCCACGGATGGACTGTAACCCTTATGGAGTTGGGTAGGGAGAGGTTGCAGTTTTGGTAGTGGTGGTAGGGAAGATAACTCTTAACAGACGAGCAGGCCACAAGACACAGCTTTACCACCTTTGGAGTTGGTGGACTAGACCCTGTCTTCTCTGTTTCTCCCTTTACTAGCCTAGAGAGTGTGTACACAATTGTCCCACATTCAATGGATGGTCATATCTCTTATGTAATCAAGCTATAGGCATAGAAACAGTTTGAGACCTCAGCTAGTGCTAGTTAACAGGACCTGACAAAAGTATGAGTGCTAGTGTCCCTCAGTGCCTGATCTTAGTCATTCAGTATTTCACCACTACCAATCTCTTTCAAAACAGAGTGATTATTGGGTTCAGTTGCTACCCAACCAACACCAGAACTAACCAAGCATGGTCTAGTTGCACACACATCCAGCCCTCAGGATCAGCATCACATTGCCACTTTCCCCAATTTGTCCACCCTGGGCTTACCCAGTGCCCCTGGGGACACCAAGGCACAGTTGAAAAGCTGCTACTGGGGAAGTCTCTTGGTATACTCACTAACACTGTTGTCTCCTACTGCAGCCTTTGTATTAAACCCTCCAGAAGATGGCACTTTTGCTCCCAGGGCTGCACTTGCAAAGGTGCCCTCCAAAACCCTGCTAGACAGGAGAACTAACCGCTTGCTTAGACCAAGGCCCTGACTATCTCATCAAACTGGGGTTCTCCTAAGACAAGGCTGTTTATTTCCCTGACATCAAGGTTCCATAAAAGTGACGCTAGGAGGAATATACAACATCAAATTGGCTACCTGCTAATCCTAAAGGAGAGAAGAATCAACAAGTCTGTCCCTTTGTCTAGGGGCTCTGTCATCACATGGCTAACTTCCCAAATTGTTCTGCTTGGTGTTATCCTGTTTTGCCAGTTGCCCTCCCAAACCCAGATGCTGAGTCCCATGTTAAGAAACTCTATTAATTGTCCTAACTTGTCTGTATAGGGCATACAATGAACCATAGGCTTCAACAAGTAAGAAGGGAAAGAGGTAGTAGCTATGGGCCTTCAGAAGTAGAGTCAAGCACATGGAAGCCAAATTAGGAGAGGACTCTTTGGAGAAGAAAATGGGTATAGCTTCTTCAAGTGAGGCTAAGTCATCTAGCACAGTCCAAAAGCATGAGGACTGAACATGGGGCTGCAGCTTGATAGAGGACCTTCAGGAACTCTCCCCACTCAGGCTTGACCTACCCTTCCCCAAGTCTCACCTCTGTACTCTGTTCTTCAGATGAGTCATCATAATCATGCTTGCCCTCCTGGCTACTATAGTCACGTGGATATGAACGGTAGTCCATGTCCCGGTAGTCATGGTCTCGGTTACGGTTTTCCCCACTGTCATCCTGTGAGCGATCAGTGGCTCCATAGCGGCCAGTTCTGTCTCCACGACCACCTCTAGGCAAAGAAGGATGAGGAGGCATTAGAAAGTAGTTATTTTGAAACAGGGTACACAAAATAAAAGTACTCAGACACGCCCATCCACAAAAAACCAAACCAAAACCCCAATACAAAACCTCCCCAAAATTTCCAAATATTTACCCCAATGGAATAAGTTGATTTCCACCTTTCTCAACTCCAAACCACATCTTTCTATCCTCCATCTCTCTGGTTCACAGGAAGGCCTTTCTTCTTTGAGACTTCAGTTGTGGTCTCCTGACTATTCTCACTTCTACCCATGCCTCCTTATATTCTTTACATTCTAAGCATGAGTGTTCTATAATGCAAAGTCAACCAAATCCAACCACTTCAATGGCTCCTTCTTATTCTCAAGCTAAAACACCAAAATGTACACTATGCTCCTACAACATCTGCAGGGTATTATGAGGTGAAATCTCCGCTTATCTCTCCTCTTAATGCACTGTGCCACCCTACCCCTTTCACAGCTACCTTGTTAGCACTAGCCATTTATTTCTTGTATTTTAATAGCTAAAATAATTACCTCAATGTTATGTCATTTCCATTTCTTAAAATGACAGAATCATAGCCATTTAATTACTATCATATTCTTCAAAACTTAGTACTTAGTGGCTGCTTTTTGAATAAATTAGGGCAAGCAGAAAAAAAAATTAAACATCATAGTAGACTACTACTAGGATGTCCACTATCAACAGTATAATTCAATGTGGCCTTGTGGCAAGAAACTGTGCTGCAATCCTGAAGGCACAGGGTTTGAGGCCACCAACTGTTCCGTGGGAGAAGGATGAGCAATCTCCTCCTGGGTGATTAATTATCTTTGAAAACTAGCCGGATGGTCACAACAACAAGTCCTAAAGATACAAACTAAAGCAATTAAGCAAGAAAATGATGAAAAAGAATAAAAAGTAGAAAAAGAGAAGGAAAAATTACCATTATTTGTAGATCATAAGGGTATGCCTGGCAAGCCTAAGAGAATCAACTGAAAAAATTATTATAAATAAGAGAATCAGTTAGGATGCAGGATATAAATTAATATGCAGAAATAAAGACCTCAAATATAAGTATATAAAAAGTTCAATAACTAGACAAGTGTAAAATGTTATATTTACACACACATACAATGCTAGAAGGTAATTAAAAAAAAAACATAACTATGACTTAAAATCCAGAAGCCATGAAAAAAAAATTTACTAAACTCAACTATATAAACACATAAACACACACACACAAAACACACGTATTTGGACAAAACCCCCCATAATTAAAAAATATAAGCTAAGTTAAAAGATAAACAGTAAACAGGGGGAAAGACATGAACAGAGTTCACAGAAAAGAAATAAGATTTTCACCTGAAAAGTTATCTACTTCATGACCATTATTTAAAATATTTTTTTATTTTATAATAATCCTATATTTCTAGAAAAGTTCAAATAAAATATACTCATCAAAATTAACTAAGCCATGGACTTCATTTAATCAGTTTCCCAATAATGTCCTTCTATTTTTGGTTCCAAGATCTAACCCAGGATACCATACTGAATTTAGTCTCTAGTATGCAGAAGTGACCTACACAATTGAAGAGCACTGGTCAATTATTTTGTAGAATTTCCTAAATTTGTCATCAATATTACTAATATTAGACTTCTCACAATTAGGCTATGTATTTTTTTAAAATAATAAATTGAGGTGCCCTTCTCATCACATTGTATCACAGAGTATGTGACATCAATAAGACACCACTGCTGTTGATATAACCTAGATAACCTGGTTTAAGTGGTGCTTGCCGGGCTTCTTCACTATAAAGTTTACATTTCCCCCTTTCTATACTTTAGTCTGTTTTTCATTCCCAGAATATGTTGTTGCTGTTGTTTGTTATGTGCCACTGAGTCGCTTGCAACTCATAGCAACCCTATGTACAACTCTGAACCCTGCTCTATCCTGAGCCAACCTTATCATCTCTGATACACCTACCTACATTACTTCAGTCAGTGAGTCAATCCATCCAGGGTCTTCCTCTTCTGCACTGCCCCACCACCCTCCGAAGCATGATGTCCCTCTCCAAGGACTGATCCCTCCTTTCAACATGCCCAAAGTATGTCAGATGAAGCTTGAGAATCCTTGCCTCCAAGGAGCAGTGTGGTTTTATCCACTTCAGGTCCTCCTTAGTTTCAGCAAGCAAGGTTGTTTCACCTGCATAATGCAGGTTGTTGTTGAGTCTTCCTCCAATCCTGATGCCACATTCCTCCTCATAGAACCCATCCTCCCGGATGATCTGTTCTGCATATCGACAGAAAAGGTATGGAGATAGGACACATCCCTAGCGTATACCCTTCTCAATTTCGAACCATTGCAGTGTTTTCTTGCTCTGTTCTGATGACTGTCTTCTGGCCAAAGTATAGGTTTCACATAATTCTCAGAGTTAGCCACAGTTTATTGTGATCCACAGTTAAATGCCTTTGCATAGTCAATAAAACACAGATAGACATTCCTCTGGTATTCTTTGCTCTTAGGTAAGATCCACCTGACATTAGCTATAATATCCCTACTACCACGACGCCTCTTCTAAACCTAGCCTGAACATCTGGCAGCTTTCTGTTGATGTGCTGTTCTACTTTTCAGCAGAATCTTGCTTGCATGTGGTATTCATGATACTGTTCAATAATTTCCACATTCTGTCGGGTCACCTTTTTTTTGGAATGGGAACAAATATGGATCTCTTCCAGACAGTTGGCTAAGGGGTTGTCCTACAGATTTCTTGGCACAACTTGATGAACACATCCAGGGCAGCATCTGTTTTCTGAAATATGTCAATTGGTATGCCATCAATTCCTGGGGCCTTGTTTTTTGCCAATTCCTTCAGAGCAACTTGAACTTCTTTCTTCATCACCACAGGCTCTTGCTTATACCATGTAATTATTAAAGTGGCCAAAGCTAGTCCATCTCAACTCACAATGCCTAGGTCGATGTTCATGTGTTCCATTTAAGTTTCAACAAATTCTCGTTTTCCAACATTCATGATTCATGCATTCCATATTCCTGTTAATTAAAGGATGTTTGCCATTATTTTACTTTATTTTGATTGACTTCCAATCTGGGTTCTACCTCTCTAACAGAAGAGGAATGGAATTGCATTCATACTTTAAAAAGTCTATTTCAAGTTTTATCCTGAAGTATAATATTGTGAATGACAGGGTATTATCCATATGCACACAAAAACCTGTTTACACTATTATTCAAATACATGCTAAACTCAGAGGTCATTGAAAATTTTTACCAAATTGTGCAATTAGAAATTGATCAAACACACAATCAATGCATTAATGGTAACTGGGATGCAAAAGTTGGAAGAATGGTAGTTGGAAGCTATGGACTTGGTGACAGAATCAGGCTGGAAATAGAATGACCAAATCTTGTACATTCAATGATTTATTTACTGGGATTAACTTTTTTAAAAAACACAGAGACTTTATACATGGACCTCACCTGAAGGACTATAAAGGAATCAGACTGACTACATCTGTGGAAAGAATGTTTGAGAAGTTCAATAACAGTATTCAAAACTAGGCCAGCGGTGGACTGTGGAACAGACTATCAATTATTCATGTGCAAGTTCAAATTTAGACCAAAGAACATGAAAACAAGTCCACAAGAATCAAAATACGACCCTGAATTTCTTCCACCTGACTTCAAAATCATCTTAAGAATAGGTTTGAAGCATTGAACACTAATGCTTGAAGACCAGATGTGCTGTGGGATGACATCAAGGATATTATCCATTAAGAGAGCCAACGGTCATTACACAGATAAGAGGAGAAAGAAAAAAAATGGAAATGGATGTCAGAAAAGACTCTGAAATTTGCACTCAAGTGTTGAGAAGACAAAACAAAGGGAAATCATGCCAAAGTAAAGGAATAGAAAATTTCAAAGGGAAGCTCAAGAAGACAAAGCAAAGTATTATAATGGAATGTTCAAGCAGATAGCTAGAATTGGAGAAAAGGAAAAAACTCACTCTTCATTTCTCAAGCTGAGAAAACTGAAAAGCAAATTTAACCCTCGAGTTGCAATACTGAGATGATACGGGCAATATATTGAATAATGTAGGCAACTGCAAACAAAGTACTGAAGAGCAACAGTGTCAGTCTGGAGACTAAGGTGTGCGTGATACAGGCCATGGTCTTTGCAATCACCTGTTATGCATCAGAGAGCTGGACAATGACTAGGGATGACAGAAGAATTGATGCCTTTGAGCTGTGGTATTAGAGAAGAGTATTGAATATACCAAGGACTGCTAAGAGTATAAACAGGTTCGAAACTGGAGAGGGTAAAACCAGGCTGCTCCTTGGAGGCAAGGATTCTGAAGCTTCGTCTGACATACTTTGGACATGTTGCAAGGAGGGACAGTTCTTGGAAAGGGACATCAATCTTGGGAGGGTGGAGAGACAACACAAGAGAGGAAGACCCTCGATGAGATGGATTGATTTGGTGACTGGGGTAATGGTGTGTCGAAAACAATGAGATTGGCACAGGATAGAACAGGGTTTATGGCTGTTGTACATAGGGTCACTATGAGTCACAGGCGACTAATGGCACATAACAACAACGCAACAGCAAAAGATGGAGGAAATATACAGAGTCACTATACCAAAAAAGAATTGATAGTGTTAGCCTAAAAGTTGGCTTTTTAAAAAGCTATTACGGTTCTCCAGCTACCTTAACTGCAGACACATAGTCTTTCAAATTATCAATAGCTGTGGGACTCGGATAAGAGAAAGAGTCCTTACCACATTGTGGCAGCAAGATGCTGGTGGTAGAGAGACTGTGGCACTGCTGTGGAGAAACTGTGGCAAGATATAACCTGAGGCTTCTTGCATTTATGCTGGACACAGTTAAAGGTTTAGATGTTCTTGCCAGTTGATTTGGATTTGACTGCTGAACTGAAACTGAACTGAGCCTGGACTTATTGAGGAATTTTGCCTTGG